GTGCTGTCACAGTATGGGGAGAGCAATTAGGGTCACATAATAATGTATGTATAAATTTTTGTATGGGAGACTAACTTGAAATGTAAACTTCATCTAAACTACAACAATAAAAAAATTTAAAAAAATAATAAAAAAACCCTACCCCTCTTATTTTACTTTAAACCTTCTTTTCCAAGCTACTTCATTAACTCCACAAACCCTCTGTCACAAATCCTGGGCAGATGCTGTTCCCTAGAATACCAGTCCCCCAATCTTTGCCTTGGTAATGTGAAAACATTCTATCAGAGGGGGTCCCTAAACCCACCCAGGCTGGGTTGGGTGCCTGCCCCTTGTTGGCACTGGCCACAGTGTCACTATTTCTCCTGTCTGCTCCTCCACCAGATGGGGCTCTGTGAGGCAGGGACTGTGTCTGCCTGCTTCCTGCTGAAGCACCTAGTACAAAGCCTGGCACCTGGAATGAATCAAGACTTTTCTTTAGCTCTAAGTACTGAAAAAATGTGAAGTGATTCATAATTTAAAAAAAATGAAATTGTAAAATAACAGTAAGGAATTTCAAACCAATTTGCATTTTTCCCATAGTGCCTACTTTAATGCCTTTTTAGAAGTCTAAAGGATCAAATTGTTTCAGGTTTTTGGTGGGGGGAAGCACCCCTGGCACACAGTCTGTCTATTAGGTAGTCGAGCACTGTCTGGCACACAGAAGTTTCTCAAAAAATATTTGTTTCCTGGATGAATGGAACTAGGCAGTTAGAACTAGTTAGATAAGGTCACTATGAAGTAAGAAGGATTTGGCACCAGGGGGAGGGTTGCAGGGCAGGGCAGGAGGCCTGGTCCCCTGCCTTGAAGGCATGAGAGAGAGAGTGTGTGTGTGAGAGAGAAAGAGGAGAGAGAGTATATGTGTGTGTGAAAGAGGATGTATTTTGTCATGGCAGGTGAGCACACCCAACACCTTCACAATTTTCCAAGATCTGTCCCTGCTTATGCCTCCCCATCTGCAGGTTGGCAGACTCAGTCTAGGACTCAGAACAGAGCACACAGCTGCCATGTGCCCCCTCTACACAGCCACAGCAAACATAAAGTTAGGGTTGGAGGGGAAAGGCAGGAATCTCATTTCTCCTTCTCAAAAGTGGAAAGAGCTGGAATTCTGTGTCCATTTATTCAATAAATATTTATTGAGCATTTACTGTGTACCAGACCCTGTGCTAGGCACTAGGGTTACAGCTGTGAACATGACAGAAATAGTCCATCTGCACGATGTTCCAGTCTACATTGAGAAGCTGATACTATTCAATTGCAGTTGTGACAAGTGCCGCGAAGGCAAAAAGCAGGGGGCTATCCAGAGGATTTAAAGGGAGTCCTGACCTAGTCAGGAAAGCCTGGTGGCACAGTGGTTAAGAGCCTGGCTGCTAACCAAAAGGTTGGCAGTTTGAATCCACCAGGCACTCCTTGGAAGCCCTATGGGGCAGTTCTACTCTGTCCTATAGGGTCGCTATGAGTTGGAATCGACTCAGTGGCAACAGGGGGATTTTCACCTATTCAGGATTAGGGAGGCAGTCAGTCTAGGCTTCCTTTAGGAAAAGATAACAAATTTAAAATCTGAAGAAATTACCCAGGTGATTTGCAGAAGAACGCCATCTAAAAAAAAAAAAAGGTAGAAAGAGTGACAGAAAACCACCACTTTGCAAGCGCTCATGTGAAAACAAATTCAGGCAAGGATCGTCAGTGAATACTAAAATACTAAAATCTGGTGAAAGGTTGCTGCACAGTCTCTAAGTATCACCCACAGACTGCTCATTAACCACAAATATTTAAGATTATCTTTATAATGGACAGATCTAGGACACCACTTTAACCAAGTGAACAAACTTAGCATCACTGATCACAGGACAACCTGACTTTAAGTGACTCCTGACATGAAGCAGTGAGCAGTACGTAAGACTAACCAGGAGAAAATACCCAGCAAGTACAGATTGTGGGACATTTTGAAAGACAACTGGCCTGGACTCTAAAAATGTCCAGTCTATCGGGAAAAACAAACAAACAAACAAAGATAGGGAGGCTGATCTAGGTTAAAGGAGAAGAAAGAGATGAGACAAACATGCTCCTTGATTGGATCTTGGATTTAAACAAACAAACAGGTAAAAACGGACATTTGGGAAACATTTGTGAAAATCTGCATATGGACTGTATATTACTGTATCAATGTTAAGTCCTCAAATGTGATCGTTCTTTTGTGGTTATGTCCGGGAATGCTATTGCTCTTAGGAGATATATACTGAAATATTTCAAATGTTATGATGTCTGCAACTTACTTTCAAATGATTCAGAAAAAAAGTACGTGGGGTGATGGGGTGTAGAGAGGAAAAGATAAAACAAATGTGCAAAATATTAACAATTGGTGAATATAATCTAAGTAAACAGGGTATTTTGGTATTCATCACACTATTCTTTCAACTTTTTGATAAATTTGAAACATTTCAAAATAAAAAGTTGAGGTAATTAAGTTACCCAGGAGCAGGTGTTAGTGTTGTGAGAGAGAGCTTTCTGGCAGAGGGAATAATATGCCCCAAACCTCTGAGGCTGGAGGGAGACTGGCGAGTTCAAAGGATATAAGACAAAGCCAGTGTGGCTGTAACAGGGGAGGTAGTGTCAGGGGCTGGGGCTGCAGAGTGGATACTAAAGATTTTGGTCTCATCCTAAGAGTTCTGGAAAGCCACGGAGGTGTTTAAAAAGGGGGTTGTCTCATTGAATTGTACATGTAGAAATTGTTGAATTGGTGCATGCTCTGCTGTACATATTCTCAACAACAACAAACAATAAAATAAATTGCTTTAAAAAGGGAGATTATGATTGGATTTAAAGACACCCTTGCTCCTGTGTCAAGAAAGGACCGAGGGTTGGGGTACCCCTGGGAGGACAGAAGCCTAGTGATGGACCTCAGCCACCTCTATCTCCCTGAAAATCTGGAGTCTTTACTTCCAGCCTGCCTGAGCTTTCTCTGAGCCTGCCTAAGGGTACAGGACCCAGGTAGTGGGCTTAGTTCTAGATGAAGGGGCCTAATGGGGATGAAATGGGGAGAGCAGGCGAGAGGGAGGGGCAGCAAGCAGGGAGGAGAGCGTTGGGGCTATAAGGTAGACAACAAGGGTCAGACACCACAGGTTAGGGAGAAGTAGCAGTGGGAGTGGGTAACGGTACGGAAGGAATAAAGGTGAATGCAATGGTGGGCTTGGAATGATGATAGGCTGGCCTGTAAGAAGGATTCTTGGGAAATGGTTAAAGGATAGAGGCCAAGCAGGTGGGGAGGCTGCCAGCCCTCTGAAGCTGGGCACGAGATGATTGGAGGGGAAGAGACCTCCTTTTTAACCATTTACTGGGAGCTTTTTATTCTTTGGGCACTGAGGTGACTGGATTATACACATCATCTATTATTTCAGCTTCACAACAAACCTGCAGATAAGTTCAATGATTATCCCTTTTCTCCAGCAGGGGCTCAGAGAGGTTGAGAGACTTTCCCAAAGTCACATAGCTGGTAACTGGCAGAGCTGCAACATGAAAGTAGGCCTAATTTGACTTTAAAGCCCATGCTATTATCCATGATGCTATACTGGGCTTCAGCCAGGAGGTCCTAGAGTCTGCAAGAGGTATAGAGAGACTCTCCCAGGATTTGGGGAACAGCAAAAAAGTGAAAGTGAAGGAGATGGACTACATTTAATTGACCATTTTCCAAGCACTCACTATGTGCCAGTCCTTGTTACAGGCCCTGGGATTTAAGAGATGACAGACATAGTTCTTGCCCTAAGAAGCTCGGTTGAGCAGATGTGTGTGTGTGTGTGTATGTGTGTGTGTGTGTGTGTGTGTGAGAATGTGAGGGAACATCCCAGAGGCTGCGCTATGATACAAGTCTCAAAAAAGTGAAAAATCTGGGGAAGTCATCCCTGACGAGAGCCCGGATATACTTGTGTTAATATGTAAATACATGTGTATTCATTTTTAATGTAGTGAAATATATCAGCATTAAACATATACATACATGTCCATATGAGGGCTATTATGCAACAATTAAATGATTTTTGAAAAATTTTTACTGACATAGGGAAATTCTCATGCTATATTGGAAATAGAAAAAAAGGAGGCTACAATATTGATATACAGTATGACCTCAATTACTGTTACAAAAAAAAAAAAAAAAAAAACCTGGTAAGAAATATACCAACTGACTGGGAAGGAAAGTTCTTGATATTCTAAGTGTGAAAAGCAAGTTTCTGAAAAATGTATTTAGGTGAATCAGATTCTTTAAAAGATTAAGAAGCCTGTGCATATTGTCTGACTATACAAAGAAAATAGTTTGAAAGATACACAGGAAAATGTTAATGGCTCAATGAATAAACTGCAAAGAAATGAAAGATGGAGGGAAACTTTTACAATAAGAGAGCTTAAAAGACAAGAAAGATATCAAACAAAAATACAAAATATGGACCTTAATTTGGATACACGTGCAAACAAGTTAACTGTAAAAGTGTGTGTGTGTGTGACAGAGAGAGAGAAAGAATGAACTGGGGAAATGAGAACACAGACTGGATATTTGATGATATTAGGGTATGACTATTAATATTATTTTTAGTGATTGTGTGTCTAAAAAAGAACTATCTTTTAAAGATAAAGAGTGAAGATCCAGATGAAATTACATGATGTCTAGGATTTACTCCAAAATAATCCAAGGAGGTATGAAGGTGGGACTATAAGTGGAACTCATAGGGCATTGGTTGAAGTGGGATAATAGAATCATAGAGGTTCATCACATCGTTTTCTCTACTTTTGTATATATTTGAAATTTTCCATCTTAAAAAATGTTAGTGGTGTTCTCCCTGGGTTGGAAATTATGAGTGATTTTTCTTTTAAACATTTTCCACATTTCTATAATGAGAATGTATTATTTTATAAGTAGAAAAAGATCCAGTTGCTATTTGTTTGTTCATTGAATGACTCTGCCCAAACTGAGGGAGAGAAGAGATACTGTCTCAGAGGAGGGGGAATGGAAGGGGACCCGGAGTTGGGGAAGGGTTGTGTGGAGCCATTAAAGGACAGCAAGGTGGAGGCCTGGGGAAGCCAAATGGAGACTCACTTCTCTGTGCAGATGCTGAGAACAGCTGCGGGGTGAGGCCTGGGATACAGCCTGAGAAGGGAAAACTGGCTTACTGGGCTCAGAGCTTGGGACAACAGCTGTTGGGATCAGAAGCCAAAAGGATGACCTGAGAAGGAATGGCGGGGGG